TTTGGAGGCAGCAGCCCAAACAAGCAGGAACTGCCCTTTTCTAAAGGTCATGGGAACCCAAGGGGATCAGCCGGGCAAGCCCAAAACAACCATCCTGGTTGTCCCTGCAACACCACATTCTCCCCCAGTTGAGGTACTGTCCCTTCCTCATCTGCACAAAGCCCGTCAGGGAGGAGGGGCAGAAGCTGCAAATGAAACCAGACCCTGCTTGGGAGGCTCACAGCCTCAGCTTCTGGCCCCGTCAGGGCAGTCCACATGTTGTTACAGTTGCTTCAGCCAGCTGGGAATCAGTAGGGGGTCTGTAAGGAAACCACATTAATTAGGAGAAAGCAAACCTGACAGTCACTCACTCCACCAGTCCTTTCTCCTGGTTTCTCTTGCAGCTCCCTCCCGTCACGGTCTCTACCAGATCAACTCTCTCCACTTCCCGCGCCTTTTCATTGCCATTGCCTCAGCTCGTTCATAGTGAACATCTGTGTGGCTCTTGGCTCTGACCCACTCTTCCTGGGCGAGGTGGGAGGAAGGCTGGAAGAGCACATTCATCCACAGCTGGGACCAAGAACTTCCTCAGCTCCAAAGCTGTAGACAGGCTGACCCGCCCATGGCCTCCTCTTTTTTTTTTTTTTTTTTTTTTTTTATTCTTCAACCAAAGACTTGTCTGAACACACAACCTAGGCATGTGCTCTGATCATGAATTGAACCCGCGACCTTTCAGTTTACAGGACGACACTCCAACCGAGCCACACCGGCCAGGGCACCTCCTAACTCTTGCCTTTGCTCTGGCCTGAGCACGCTGTCCTGTTGGCCAGAAGCGAGTCACCAGACCAGATCATTTCTGCTGGGAGTGTAAGTTTTTCTTGGCAAAATGAACATTTCTGGATTTGTCTATTGTGAATGTTACCCTAAACATCTTCATTTGGATGGTTTACTTGGGACTTGAGTTATTTCCCGCTTTAAGAATAGGGTCCAGGACAAGGGGTAGAGGAAAGAATGATTTCCTTGGGAAATGTGTGGAACCAAGGGGGCTGGGCTCCTCAGATGGGGTGGATAGAAGATTTTGCCAGGGTAAGAAGTGGTTCATCAGCCTCCCTTTCCCCATACATGTGCATACAATGTCACTGATGCTCTTCATGTTTCAGTGTCACTATTGGAACTGGAAATAGTTTTTCCCACGCAAGAGAGTGACTCTGCCAACAGCCCCAGAAACTCTGGCTCTTGAAAAGGCCCTTCTAATGGGTGGCAGCTACCATTTGCAGCCCCCAGAAAAGAGCCCGGACTCCCTTTTATTTCACAGAGGTTATACTACATGAAAAAAAAAAATCCACAACATACCCACCTGGGGAGGGGGGTATATAAGACCCATTGATGAAATAGGAGATGCTATTTTTGAAATAGGGAGATAGGTCTTAGAAAATATATTCACATTAAAAGCAACCTAAATGCCTAGCAACTGGGGATTGGCTGACTAAATTACAGCACTTCCAAACAATGAAAGAGTATAAAGCCATTAAAAATGGTGCTAAAGGACCAATGAAATCCCATAGAAATTCCAGAAACAGATACACACCAGGTAAAATACCATAAAGGAAAGTATAATATTGTTAATAAATGGTGCTGTGTCAGTCAGATATCTCTAAGGGAAAAAAATGAATCTTAATCCCAGTCTCAGGCCACATAATAAAACAGTCCCAGATGAGTTTAGATCTAATATGAAAGGTAAAACAATAAAGCTTTGGGAAAAAAATATAAAATATCTTCATGCCCTTGAAAGGTAAAAATTTTAAATAACAAACAAAAAAATGCCAACTATAAAGGAGAAAACCTTGTAAGTTGCACTATGTTAAAATTTAAAATACTGCTTATCAAAAAATATACTACATGCCCTGACTGGTGTGGCTCAGGGGATTGAGTGTTGATCTGTGAACCTAAAGGTCGTCAGTTCGATTCCCAGTCAGGGCACATGCCTGGGTTATGGGTTGGGTCCCCAGTTGGGGGCATGTGAGAGGGCAACTGATCGATTCTCTCACACAATGTTTCTCTCCTTCCCATTCTCCCTCCCTTCCTCTCTCTCTAAAAATAAATAAAACCCTTTTTAAAAAAAATATACTACAGACAAATGAAAAGGCTACCCACAAAGAGGAAGATGACACCTGCATCAAATATATCCAACAAAGGACAAGTATCTAGAATATATAAAGAACTTCTACAAATAAATAAGAAAAAGACAGGAAACCCAATATAAATTGGGCCAAAACTTGAACATTTTACAAAAGAGGATATCTAAACGGCTTATAAAGTGATTCATCTCCACTAGCCATCAGAGAAATATATCTTAAATACACAATGAGAACCTATACATACTCACCAGAATGACCAACATGAAGAGTACAAAAGAATCATAAGACAAAAATACAAAAAAAATAGTGATAAGTATGGAGAGCAACTGGAACTCTCATAGACAGATGGTACCAGAGTAAACAGGTAAAATTACTATGCAAAAGAGTTTGGTGGTATCTACTAAATCTGAGTATTTACATAAGCCAACAGTTCCACTCCTAGATAGATTCCTGAGAGAAGTTTGGTCTTGTGCTCACCAAAAATCATATAGAAGAATGTTCATCATAACAGTATTTATAATAGCCCTAACTGGAAAGTGTCCAAATTCTATCAACAAAAAAAGGGTAAGTAAATTGTAGTTAAATCACAGTAGAATATCACACAGCAATCAGAATGAATGAATGATAACTCTGTATAACATTATGGGTAAATCTCAAACATGATGATGAGCAGATGAAAGCAGACACAAAAGAGTACATGCTATATAAGATCCTATTTATATGCAGTTCAAATGCAGGAAAAAATAATTTATGGTGCTAAAAGTCAGATAATGACTTCTAGTACCTGGAAGGGGACACCTGGGAGTTTCCTGGAGTGCTAGTAATGTTCTACTTGTTGGTGAGAGTAGTGTTTCCCTTTGTGAAAACTCACGAAAGTGTACACTGATAATTTGTGTACTTCCTTATATAGGTCATTCTTTAATTTAAAGAATTTCATTCTTTAATTTAAAGAGGCTAGTCTTCTGAGAAAAATCTGGTTTTACAGAATTGTTTTTTTCATGTAGGAACAAATAATAAATGGACTCAGAAAATAAAATATTAAAAAATGAAGAATATGCACAGTATTACTTCATTTGGTAAATGTAAATAGTGCTTATCTCTGAATTATGGATATTTTTCCTTTTACTTTATTTCATTTTTCTACAATGATCCCATGTTACTTGTCATTGTAAAAAGTACAAGTTGTTTTCCTTAAATAAAATTTGATTATGATAAGTTAGGAAAAGATAATGAAAGGGCTGGCACTCCAATATTTAGTTCACTATGTCCACAACAAGCCTTGGGTGCAGCTCTGTTACTACCCTGCTCCCTACTGGATTGCCAGAAGTTGGAGACTTGTGAAGAAACAGAGAGTATGGTATAAGCAGGAAGAAATCAAGGTCGTTTGTGTAGAAGGAAAGTGGAAGCTATAGGGAAAGCCAAACTTTCCTGATTTCCTGATCCTGGCCAGGATACCCAGACCTATACCCAACCAAAACTCTCTGTCCCACCTAGCCATACGTCAGTCTCACCCATCTAGATTGATCTTCCTCACAAGTTCCCCTTCCCAGGATCTGCCCTTGCTAAATGCAATGTTTTAAGGTCCTTCAATGCCACATTTCTCCTGCTCGTTTGTCTATGATAATGCCACTCAAGCTCCCCATGCAGCAGCCGCTCTGCATCCTCCTGGTCCACCAGGGTGACAGTCAACTGAAAGACAGGCTCCTTCCCCACCCTCAGCAGAGAGCATGCTGTGCCATTTAATGAGCCTGATTTTCCCGTCTATGAATCAGAGTGGGATAACTAGAAAATCCCCGTTCAGGTTTATCGTGGAATGTGGAAAAGAATATCCTAACCACCAAGGGGAAGAATTGAGCTGTGAATGGCTTTTCTTTCTTATGTAGCTCCAGAACATTCTGTTTTGTCCTGCAATTCCAAAAGAGGGAAAATTGAGCACTAGTGTTTTCTTTTTGGTATTATATACTTCCTTATTAGGCAAATACATCAAACTTGTTAAGAGTATGTAGCACAAAGGCCATATCAATTAGTCTATGTTTATTGTGCACTTATGTTGTACCTCATTTAACTTTCGCAGCAACCCTATAAAACAGGTTCTACATTCATTTAACAAGTATATATTGCACTCACTATGTGTTAGGCTCTGTGTTATGTGCTGAAGATATGAGAGTCAACAAAAAACAAGGTCCTTGCCTTCATGGAGCACACAGTCTGGTGGGAAACATATACTATACAAGTAAATGTAAAACTGTATGTGTGCCAAGTCCTAAGATGAAGAGGTGTCTGGTGCTGAAAAACAGCAACACGGAGGTTTCTAAGGAAGACCCCATTGTGGAAGTGAAGAATGAGCTGAGCTCTGAGAAATAAGGAGTTTAGCAGGTAGGCAAAGAGCAGATGGAGGAAATAGCTGCGCAAAAGCCCTGGCCAAAGATAAGTGCTAAGTAAATAAAAGTGAAGAGACGGGGGGTAGGAGTGGGTGTTAATCCTATCCTAGGTTTGCCTGATACCTGACGCTGCAGACTCAGAGTTCCTAACCATTTCAATCTCTCCTGTACATGTCTAGCTCCAGCCACAAGAAGCTGAAAATCTGCATCTGACTTACAGAGAAGGAAAAGCTTTAAAGACTTAAGGGTACTGCGTAGGATTTTACCGAGGAAGCCTGCCAAGAAAGAAAACGACCCTGGAGATTTCGAGGACTGGCAAACAGGAGTTAGAAGCCCTCCCTTAAATCCTCGAAATGAAGCACAACCTTGGCACAGGGGCCACTCCGTTTAGATCAGCGGGAGAGGTGGGGGGAAAGTTAGTGACAGAGTAACGGACCGGGAAGCCCACAACCCACACACTTCTCGCCCACCACTGCGGTTGCGCCTGTGCCGTTCCGGAAGCGGAAGTGCCCAAGAGGTCATCGGTGTTCAAGATGGCGGCCCTCAGTGTGCTGGTGTCCGGTTGTGGGCGGCTGTTCCGAGGGCTCCTGCCACGTCCCGCCGCGACCAGCTGTGCTCGGCCTCCAGATCGCGGGTACAGGGAAGGTGAGTCGTGGGTCCTGGCGACCTTCCGAAGCTAAAGAGAAGAGCGGCGCGGTTGCTTCCTCCAGTCCCCGTGTTCCTTCCCTCCCTTTTCTTCGCGCGGTACTGAAACGTCGGAGATGCGGGCGCGCCCCAGGTGCTCGAAAGCTTCTTCTGGACCCTGATGCTGTTATCTTGACTTCCACTTCTCTGAGTGTCCTCTCGGACAGGGGCGGTGGCAGATAGGGAAGACGGAGAAAAAGACTTACTTCGTTAGCGAGGGCAGAAAAGAATTACCTGTCCGAGGATTCAGAATTTTTCGGGAAGGGTCCGCATGTTAATTCTCCCTTCCATATTCTCCGAAAGGCCGCCTCGTTTAATAAAGAATCCCTGGATCATAAAGGATGGCCAAAAGCGTCGTCTTTTCCAGTTTTTCATTTGAAAGTACTGTAATCCGATGGCGGCCTTTTCTACCTGGGCCTTTAGTCTCCCTGAGAGGTGGAAGCTAAGGTGGAAAGGCTATTGAACAGCTGAAACAGAGGCAAACGCTGGATGGTATTTTTGCTTTAAATTAACCTTAAGTCTGAAAAGGCAGCCTCATTCTAGCATTGAACTGAGAGCTTTTTATTAAAAAGGCCAAGTGCTGAACTTCAGGCTGTCGAGGGATTCTGGAGGAAAAAAATACAGCCCTTTTCCTGAGAAGTTGGTTCTAATAAGATGATATGTATACATAGGCTGCAGTAAAGTACAGGGAGATTCGGTTACAGGAAGCAGCAAACCCAATGGCAAGTTTTCATAAGGAGGATGTCTTGAGCGGGCTTACAAGAGGAGGGGATCTGATGGAGAGTGAAAAAGGCCTTTCAGGACACAGCCTTCCTTTGTGCACTGCTGGAAGCAGGAAAAGATGAGTGATGTGCAGAAGTGATGCGGGGGTTTATTTTAAGATTCTGGCGCAGTATTGGCCAGTACATCTTTTAAAGCTAAGACATATCCAGAGAAGAAGAGTGGTCATTGTTTTCAGAGGGAGCAGAAAAGTCCAAAAAGAGTCTAATGAAGAGGCCATTCGATTTGTTTCAGAAGTGGTCTCTTTTTTTAACTTTCAAACAGCAATTTCAATAGAATGGGAAATCAAAGAGACAGTTCATGAAAAAATGGAAATATCAGGTAGTGTGAAGAATTTAGCTATGAAGGGAAGATGGAACATTTGCTAGAAAGAACAATAAAATCTGGATGCTGCCTGGTTAATAGTAGGTAAACTAACCCATTAATAAAGAAGGACACCAAAGACAGCAGGCTGCTAATACAAAGGACTTGGAAAAGGTTTTTCATCTATTCCCATGCTGCAAAATTAGCATATGCCCATAACATTTTTGAAGGTGTCCACCAAGTGTCAAACACTAATAGCCACAATTTACATATCCTTTATGAAATTCAAAGTTGAAAACAGTGCTTTGCTATATTCCCAGAGGACAGGCAAGAGAAATAGTTTTGTTCTTTTACAAAGGAATATTTTTAGATTTGAATTTTTTCTGTTGGAGAGTTTGTGAAATAATGGACTGTGTAATCAGATGGGTCTTTGAAGTCCTCCTTTCCGTAAATACTTGGGTTGGTTGCTCTTTGTTGCTCACTGTCGGACTTAAAAGCTAAATAATTGAATTGATGTGATCTTAAACAAAGGAGAACCACTTGTCTCCAAAGCCTTTAAATGAAAAATTTTTTCCTTGATATTCTACCCCTTTGGTGTAAAATTGTTCACATATACCTAATTTTGACTGGTCCCAACAGGATATTTGACACCTAAATAATAGAGTGCACGTATAATTTGTAGTCCTAGGGAGAAAGCTGGATGTTTTGCTGAAAACAGCCAAAGTTCCTACTTTTCAAAGTATCAGATAGTACTAAATTTTAGTCAGAGTTCATGAGCACTCAGCATCTGTGCTCCTGCCTGTAAAGACAGACTCTCAGAGTACGCCCAGGCCAGGCAGCTCTGTTGGAGCACCATCCCAATGTGTCAAGGTTGCAGGTCTGATCTTTGGTAAGGGCACATACGAGAATCAACTAATGAATGCAGAAGTAAGTGGAACAACAAATTGATGTTTCTCTCTCCCTCCCCCTCCTCCCTCTTAAATTAATTTTTTTTAAAAAAGACCCTCATTCTAAAGCAGTGGTTCTCAATTGGGGGCAGTTTTGGCAATGTCTAGAGACATTTTTGGTTGTCACAACTGGTACAACAAGTACTCCTGGCATCTTGTGGGTAGAGTCCAGAGATGCTGCTATGATCTTATAGTGCACTGGACAGCCCCACATGGCAAAGAACCACCTGGCCCAAAATGTGAGTCATGCTGCTGTTGAGAAACCCTGGTCTAAAGTTTAACAAGAGTGACACACAAAGCCAAAAACAAAACAAAACAAAACAAAACAAAACAAAACAAAAACACTCTTATGGAAGAAGCAACACTGAAGGAAGACAGAAATGGAAATTGTAGTTTATTAAGTACCCGCTTCAAACTTTGCCATGTTTTCCACATAAATTTATTCAGTCTTTTCAACAATCCTTAAAGGATATTACTGACATTTTTACAAATGATGAAATCAGGTCCAGAGATCCTCAGTAGTTGCCCTACATCTCCCAGCTAGTGAGTGGTGGACTTGGAAGTAGAGCCAGCAGCACTCTTCCCTCTCCACCAATAGTATCGCCTTACAGTCCATGGCAGGGCATCCCCGTGGTGCCCTCCCTTCCCTGAAAGCCCTCATCAGTTAACTTGCTGAAGACCATTAGTATTTTTATGATTGGCACTGCCAGACTTAGCAAAAATTGCGTTAGACCTCATTCCTGCCTTATCACATTTCGAGCTCCTATGAAGGAAATGTATTTAAAACAAGAAAAATAAATACTTATGATTATCTGAATTTAAAGGAATGATCTGTCAGACACCTAGGTCAGAATGTGTTGAAACAAGTCAAGGCTGAAGGGAATTTTCTTCATCTTTTCCAATTAGGTATAGCATCTCAGACAAGGATGGGCAGCCCAGCCCTATAGCTAAAAGCTGTGAGAGAGAAGTGAGTGAGTTGGGGGCTTTAAAGAATTAAGAGTAACCTACTAGTGGAAAGAGGTTTTTGTGCAGCAGTAAGACTCCTCATTCTAAAGCACAGTGCACAGGGACATCGCCTCAGGGATCCAAGGGTAAAGAAGTGGGGAGGTGATGAGAGAATCAGAAAATTTCAGTGGTAAACGTGAAGATGAACAGAAGGGCCCCGGCTTGTGCAGCTCAGTGGATTAAGTGCCGGACTACAAGCTGGAAGGTCGCATATTTGATTCCTGGTCAGGGCACATGCCTGGGTTGTGAGCCGGGTCCCCAGTTGGGGGTGGGTGAGAGGCAACCACACATCGATGTTTCTCTCGCACATATTTCTCTCCCTCTTTCTCCATCCCTTCCCCTCTTTCTAAAAATAAATAGATAAAATCTTTAAGAAAGGAAAAAGATGAATAGAAGGGAGTGGTACTTGAATGAGGAAGGAATTTGAGAAAAGTAGTTAATAACCAGAAGTGCAGGCACATCCCAAGCATGCACTTTACCCCCTGACCCTACATAAGCCTGTCAGTGCCTTCTCTTGGCCATCCTGCCATTCAGTTCCTCCATTCCTTCATATTCTGCTTGGGACTTGGTTTCCATGGATACTTTCCAAGAAGGACCTTGGTCTCCGGGCACTTAGTGCCTACACTCCTCATCATTCATCTTTCCTCACTTCCTCCTTTACTAAACAGTTGGCTCTTTATACTGCTGCAGTTCACTCTGTCTGTGTTTATGTGGCCATCAAGGTCTTTCTGTGTTCACTGCAATCTCACCGCAATGCTGTTTGCTCTAGACTGTTATAATTCAGTTATCTTGGACTCCATCCTAGGCGAGTATTTACTGAAGCACTCAAAGGACCTCTTTACAAGGCCTGGACTTTATTATAGTAAAGTTCCCATACTTGGTTAGTTCCCTTTTCTCCCCTAGGGCAAAGGCCCTGTCTTCCTATTCTGTTGTAACTCTCCACAGTAGGTGGAGCTGAGCTGTACACTGCGCGTGCTCGGCAAATGTATGCCTTCTGTGAAACGGATTATTTGATTTGTATGAGAAGTGCCTTATCTTCGAAGATTTTGGCCCTTAATTCTAGTTTAGAAAATGCTTTTTTCTTTCCTGAGTTTACTTGATAATAGCCATTTCTCAGAACACAAGGAAGAGGATTCTATCTTTTTCTAAACAAGTTTTCTGTTAGTGCTTAAATGTCTTAGTACAGTTTTTCTTAGCTACCCCCACTTCTCCTAATGGAGTGCAGACCAGGGACAAAATGGATCTGAGGTTTTGTTTGGTTTTGACATGTTTTTGTATGCACACTGAAAATCAATACGATTTTGATTCCTATCTCCTGTTTTGAGAGGCTTAAAATCTATCAGAGCTTCCTCAGGCTCCAGCCAGGCCTTCTGTCCCAGCCCTGAGACACCGCCCTGATTAATTTCAGTCTCCTGTGAATTCTCAGGTCATTTCTTCTGGTTTGACAAATTGTCTCTATTAGATAAGCATGTGCCTAATGTTTTACCCACTGGCTTATAGTAAGATGATTCACTGGCTCTGAGTTGCTGTGTGGGGAGCTTGTGAACAGTGGAGCTTGCCATGGTCTTTGATCTCTTTTCCAGGGGCCAGTGGGATGACTTCAGGGTTTGGTTCTTTGCCGGGAGTGATGTGTGTTTTGTTAGACTTGTTTACCTCATGATTAGGACCCAAGTGCCTCCATGGAGAGAAGGGAACCACATGTTTATTCGCTTTGTGTTTCAGGGCATTGTTCTAGTGCGGACTCTGTTCGAGTGGTACTGGAATATTTCTCTGTTTCTTAAAATCTTTTTTCCTACCTGTCGTTGCTCAGATTTGGTCACCCTCGGTCCAAATTGGTTTTTGCAAATCTGCGGTTTCTGGGGTGCCTAGAAGCCCTATTGGGCTGGAGCTGTGCCCTCCATTGCATCCCCACGTTTATAGTTGACACATTGCAGTGACGGTCCCTCTGCAACTGCGCTGGCCTCCAGGCTGGGCACCAGGTTGAGTCTCACTCACTGCTTGTTTAGCCTGGTCTCTGTTCTGGACAAGTAGATCCATGTGTGGGGTGACACATTTCCTTTTACAGGGAGAAACCTAGTTTGTCTTTGAGTTGGTAACTACCGTGTTAGGGAGAAAGCCTCAGGGCCTCTCTGGTCATTGTTACAACTGTGTGTGCCTGAGTAGGACACTGAGGGGCTCTCAGGTTGGTTATTTAGAAGTAATGAGTCTTTATGAATGGCCTTGCCCAGAAAACAAACGGGGGAAAATTGCAGGCAGTCTGTATCCAATTAGGTGTCAGTCACAGAGCTCAGTGGTCACAGATGCTGCTGTGGGACTCTGGTTGGATTAGGATTGCCTCACTTTTTTTCCTTAGATATACTCTTTCTCTTTCTATTTATTTTTTATTGCAAAAGCAGTACACATTTGTTTTAGAAACTTTAGAAAATACAGACAGGCATAAAGAAGAAACTAAAATTACCTACCTCCACCTCTGAGAGACCAGTATTGCCATTTGAGTACATAGCTTCAGGGGTCTGTGAGTCTTCTAAATCCGTGTTTAATTGTATGTACGCTTATGGACATATTTCTAGGGAGAGATCCATAACTTTCACTAGATTGTCAAAGTTAAAAACCTTAGGCTCTTTCTAATCTGTATTCTTGCCTTGGCTAGAGCTGAGTAAAACTAATCGTGTAGCCAAGCTGCTGTTACAATATGATTTTAGTATGTGGGGAGACAGTTAGCAGCTATGTGGGCCCAAGTTTTCTATTACAGTAATTAGTAGGCAGAAGGAGACCGTGACGATTATTCTGCTCCCAAATGCTAGCTAGCATTAACTGAGCATCTGCTGTGTGCCAGTTCCTATGCTAACGCTATGGCTTCTCCCTTTCTAAAGAAACTGAAGGAACAAGCAAGGATCTCCCAGAACTTTCTATTTGATTATGTTTGCCAAATGTGGGCTTTTAGCTTGGTTCTTCCTTTGAATATTGTTGAAGTTGTCATTCTGCATCCTAGTCAAGTAAGATAGGAAATACGTACAGCCTGACAGATGTGTGTGACTTGCTGTCTTTCCCTCAGGTTCTCTTTAGGCTGCCAGACCTAACTAGGGAAAGAGCTGAGAGAGTCCCTCTCCTTTTGGAATTGCAGTACTCTCTTGAAGTTCTGCCTAGACCCAGGATCTGCAGGCCCCTTATTCCAACCTCTTTCATCACATCTCTCCAGTGTAGACAACAAATTGCAGCCCTGCAGGGAGGAATGGAGAAGAGGCTTTAACTCACACAGCTGTCCTCATGCAGCTGTAATACAAGGCTCTCAGGGTGAATTTTGGGAGTGAATTTGTCTCAGTGCTTATCTACCCAGGGCCACTGGAGTCATTTTATTTAGTTCAGTACTGTATTGCAAACTATGTTTGTCTGACTCTTTTAGTAAAAGGACACATGCAGTAGGTACTTTTGAAGGCCCTTTACCTGCTTCTGCCCCCAACTCCCCACTCTGAGGTCATTATTGCTAGCCATAAGAGGGCAGGATCTTGCCAATTTCCTTAGATAGAACCAAGATGAATCTTGGCTTGGAAAGGCAAAAACAGTGTGGGGACCCTTGATCCCAGAGAGATGATATTACTTGGGTATCTGGGCTTGCCCCCATCCAGCCTCAAGGGCATAAAGCATTTGGAGGTGAACCCTGCACACTTTCTTTTCTAGGTGTGGACTGTGGGAGAGCGCAGACTGAAGGCTCTGTTCTGCATGCGTAGAGTTAGAGCTATTATTTGAAACTCCCTGTTCCTTATTAAATGGCTGACCTACTTTTCCCCTTTATCTCTGTAGTGGTGGAGATCCAAGAAGGGAAGACAACTATAGTAAGTATCATCAAGTTGGCCACTTATAACCTCTTCAACACTTGGAGCCGCCTGACTGCTCCTCTGAGGGAGGGAGGGAGGCCCAAACTGGACTCCTGGCTCCTTCTTTGACTATAAATCTCACAGTCTACTACTTTTCAAGCTGTTTGCTATAGTTTGGTTCATCAGGAACGGTCACTTATACCTGGGTTGAAGCATCTACTTTTTGATTAAAGTGGCCTTTTGTATGACAGGAATTCAGAGGTCTTTGCTGATACATTCTTTGGAGAATGATAAATTAGTTTTTCAAAGGGGAAACTAAGGCAATGGCAGGACTAGAGAGCCAAAGCCAGCTGATCCAGGGCCAGGGTCCTGGCTCTCACCTCCTTTCCTTTCTGTTCAGAATGACTAAGCTATTCTTTAAGTGATGCAGTTAAAAGGTGACACTCTATCCACCCTGGATTCACGACCAAGCACCCTGACTTGTCTGCTGGTAAGAAAGCTAGAATGACTTTACCCCCCCGACTCCCTCCTTTCCCTCATTGGGCCCATCTCACCTCCCTTCCTCCAAGAGTCATGGGACCTAGATTATCCCATAATCCGTAAAAGACAATGTTGTTTTCACATGGCTTTCCATGCCTCCAAGAAATCTGCAGCCACTCCACAGAGCTTCCAGAAGCCTGTATAACTTCCATGTCAACTAGGGATTTAACTGTTCTGGCTGCCAGCCACACTCAGTCCTCCCTAGACAGTCTTATTCCCAGGACAAGGCGTTTGGGTTCCCTTTGGGTCTTCCCCAAAATAGTCCCTCAGCTTTTGCACTGCTTAACCTCAAAATAGATCTTTTGAGGGGGGCCCACATCCCCTTAGAGCACCTTGTTTATTCCCTCATTCAAAGCTAAAACAAGCATTCACCCCGTGAACTCCATGCTGGTGAAGAGAAAACACATCTGGCTTTTGAGTGTGAAGACTGTTTTTCATGTGGGCCATGAATTTGCTATTTGTAGAATGAACCTGGAGACATGGTGACATTGTAAGCATTTACAGGCCTTGGGGGAGGGAACCATCCCTGCCTGGAGAGGCACTGCCATGGCTGACTGGGTATCACTCACTCTCTGGGGTCTCACTTCATTATAAAGCAAGATCATGATGCCTCCCTCACTAGGTTGTGGGGTTTAAATGAGATGATACATGTGAACAGTGATTATCACAAAACCAGGCACTTAATGGGGAGTGAGTAAATGTTAGCTCTGTCCCCACAGTCCACTTTAATTCCCTCCCGAGCCTACCACACACCTACACACTTTCCCTAACACACTATTTCTGAAGTAGTTATGGTTGCCTTGGCAGAAAGGTAGGTAGCAGTGCCTTGCACAGGCAAGCATTGCTTCTAGCCTCTTTGCTGTTTGCTGTTTCTACCCCTGGAGAGTGTTGCTTCACTCCCAAAACCTCTCAGCCATGTCCCAACCTCATTCTCATAATCCATGGCTTCAGTCAGGAAGGCTTTCTAAGCTCACCCTCTTGCAATTGGAGCTGACTCCCAGAGCATTGGTGTATTGCACTCAGTAATTCCAAGGCTGTGTCACAGGATACAACAGCCACAGCAGAGGTCATTTTGCATGTGGCCTCAGCATGATTGGAAAGGTGGCATCCTAAATAACAAAAGCAAGGGGAAAGACAGGACTATATCCTCCCATCAGTGTTTTTTTAAAGAGAGAAAGAGCACGCACACACTCTGGCTGTTGTGGCTCATTGGGTTGAGTGCTGGCTTGTGAACCAAAAGGTCTCTGATTCGATTCCCTGTCCACACACAGGCTTGGGTTGCCAGCCAGGTCCCCAGTTGGGCGCGTGCAAGAAGCAACTGATGGATGTTTCTCTCCCTCTCCTTCTCCTTCCCTTCCCCTCTCTCTAAAAATAAATAAGTAAATAATGACAAGAGAAAGTGAAGAAGCGGATATCTGCTCATCTCAGCAGAAACGAGGCTTCTCGCCTTGGCACTGCTGGCATCCCAGGCTGCTAATTCTTTGTTGTAGAGGCTGTCCTGTGCATTGTCGGATGGTTAGCTTCCCTGCTAGATGCCATTAGCACCCCATCTCCCAGTTGTGACAGTCACATGTATATCTGACATTATCCACTCTGCCCTGGGGAGGCAAAATCATGGCAGGCTAAGAACCACTGGCACAGACTTGCTCTGTAAGATAAAGGTGGAAACTGAAGTTTCCGCTGAGAAGACTGTGTGGGATGGGAGGGAGACTTACTCGGGACTCCACATCCCTGTTCAGTTTGAAACTTTTTACCATGTGCATTTACTACTTTTTCCCAAAGGTGGTTTTTGTTTGTTTGAGGAAGGAAAGGTAGCAGCTGAAACAGCCAACGCCTCCCTCTTGTCACCAGCATTAAGTTCAGTTTCCACTACCCTTGAAGGCCACCAGATCACCTCTCTGTGGACACCCCAGGGCCCATTATAAAGCAACGGCAGAGCCACCACTATAGTTGGCAGCAGAGAGACCTATTACCTAGGAGAGGTGATGTTACACTACCATCCTCACCATTTTGGGGGTTGCTCAGAGATTAGAGATTCTGCATGGCCCTTTCCCTCACTGGCTCTCCTTCTCTGCCTCCTAGATCGAAGGCCGTATCACAGAGACTCCCCAGGAAAGTCTAAATCCTCCTAACCCCTCTGGCCAGTGCCCCATCTGCAGGTGGAACCTGAAGCACAAGTATAGCTATGAGGTGAGTGTGCAAAGACATGGAGCTGTGCGTGTTATGGCGGTCGTTTTTCACTGGTTAACTTACATAGCATCGCTCCCCTTCACTCCCCCTTCTCCCATAGCCACTGCTGCATCTCGTGGAGCCACCAAAGGCAAGCATTTGTCCAAGTGGCTCTCAACCTTGGCTGCACATTAGAAATACAGGGAAGCTTTAAAAGAACACTCAGGCCCCACCCCCAGACATTGATTCAGTCGGGGTAACGCTTGGCCATCATTATTTTTTAAAGCTCCCCAGGTGATTCTCATGTGCAGCCAGGGTTGAGAGTCACTTAGTTCATGGTCTGGTTGTGTGCCATTCAGACCACCAGGGCCCTGTACCCCAGTCTTGCAGAGTTGTGTTTCCAAGGGGATGGAATCAGGATCTGAGTTTGGCTTGCTTTCTTTTATAATGAGAGGCTATTTGAAGAAGCCTTACTGTGATCTGGGGACACATTATTGTCTCTTTCCATAGTGGAGCTACGGAGACCCCTGTTTGCTCTAGCTTTTCTAGCTCTTCATCTGTTTGCACGGAAGGATGAGGATAGTGAATAACAATAGGTACCCTGTGTTTAGTGCATGTTCTGTGTCAGGCACTATAGTAAGCATTTACGTGTCTTTATTCACTTAGTTTTCACAATATCTCTATGAAGTCGGTACTTTTTCATCCTTGTTTTACAGGTAAGGAAATTTAAAGCATGGAATAGTAAATGAACTTGCCTCATCACCCACGTAGTAAGAATCATAACTGGGATTCAAACTCTAGGGATACAAAACCCACGCGAGACTATGACCCCATTACTCTGCATCCCTTCTAGAAGTGGGGAGGGCCTGGGGAAAAGGACACAGCCCTGGAGAAACCCATACATGTCCTTCAGAGTTCTATTGGTAACATTAAGCACCCTATTTTTAGGTTTCAGGTGATTCAGGCTCTGAGCCAACTTGACCTGCAGGTTGTCCCTGTGCCCCTCTGTGGAATGGGATGACCAAGGGAGAGATCCCGGTCAGGTGGTAAGAGCAGGAGAGGCCACATGCCCATGGGATCTGAACAGAATGACCCAACTAATCCCCCGGGCTGGGAGCCTTGGCTTTAGGCCACCCCGGGTAGGGAGGGGGGGTGTTCTTTTACTCTGCCCTGGGCCTTTCTGCTGATGGCCGCGTGGAGTAATAGGAAGCTTGCAGGCCACAGGGCCGTATTCACAGCTGCTTCTTACATGGAAGTTGGTGGGGTTGGGCCATACTTGGAATCTCAGCTGAAGGTGGGGAGGTGAACCTGCCTGACCACCACGGGGCACTCTTTCTACCAACCGTTTCCAGGAAATAGACTTGCTTCTGTTTATCCAGCAGAAGAAATCCAATCCCCTCCAAGGTAAAGGCTAAAGTTGTTTTCCTTTTACCCCTTTTCACTCAGGACATCATTAGCCTGAGCTGCACAAAGCCGTCAGCTTGCTGGGCAGCCTGCAGTGGGGGAGGCTGGGGCTGAGAGCCCAGTTTATTAGCCCTGGATAATCTAATCCAAGTTCTTTTCATCAGATTCTGAAGATTATAGGGGTGGGAATTGGGGGTCTGGGTCCCTCAGGAGCTCTCCAGTGATTAAAACAAATCTGCGGTTATACAGCAAGGCGCCTGCCAGGGCAGCAAGTCAGTTTGTGGACATGACTGCTAAGGCTGGCTTGCCAGGCCCCTCAGGGGGGTCGGAGGGGTGGGAGATGGTGGCTTTTATCTAACCCCTCAACCATCCTGTGAGAGCTGCGGCGGCGGGGCAGGGAGGGTTTCTTGCCTTGATTCTGGCTCTGTTTATCCTTATTTCTTTGACTCTTCCAAAGCAGTCTCATGGTCCAAAGGAAGCCTGAGAATCCATTCACATGTGGTCACAGGGGGCTTAGAAGATGTCGGATTTAATTTCACAGCCTTAGTCCCTTCCTCAGCTTGTATCCTGCTTAGCACTTCGGAGGGAACGGCAGAAGGTGGAGGGACTACCTACGCATATTGTGGCCTGTGGCACATAGGCTTTGGGAGCAGAAATGATACAGATTTTCTCTCTTGTGTGGAAATATATGACATACCCTCTACCTCACCCTAGAAGGATAACGGACTTTGTGTCACCAGGAAAGATATTGCAAGTGCATGAAAGATTGTTCACATTTTTTGAAGTGTTTCTGTTCTCTAACCTACTCTATCAAAAGATTATCTCATGCAGGAGCTAAAAGCTCTTGGGATTGGTAATAGGGTCAGAAAATCTTACTAAGTTGGGATTTAACTTTTGTTAGGGTCGGAGACCAGTGTGCAAAGCTCTGTGGAGGGAGTGGTCTCAGGTCAGTTCCCAAAGGAGACCTCAACCTCTTGGAGTGCTGGGTCGACAGCCTCCTCTCTGGGTCATGTGATTTGGCTCCCCGGTATCAAACGCCCACCCAGCTGACCCTCATCTCCTGTTCTCTATTTCCACTAGGATGTTCTGCTGCTCAGTCAGTTCATCCGGCCTCATGGAGGCATGCTACCCCGAAAGATCACAGGCCTGTGCCAGGAAGAACACCGCAAGATTGAGGAGTGTGTGAAGATGGCCCACCGAGCAGGTAGAAGTTCCTCTAGAGGCTAAGGGGGCGGGGGACCGTAGACACCATTCCACCCCCAGCTGCCCCATGCTGCAGCCCCTCCTTGAAGAGAAATAGACATTCAGAGTCTTCATTATACTCCTCTCAATGCCAGCCTTCCACCCCCTTGGGCTTTGTCTCTGTGGCCCCCAAAAGCTGCAGAGGGAGCTGCAGAGACCATCTCCTCATGTGCTCCTCCCTCCATTCAGGTCTGTTGCCAAATCACAAGCCTCCGCTTCCTGAAGGATTTGTTCCAAAAAGAAAACCCCAACTTAACCGGTAAGCAAACTTGGGTGTCAACACCCAAAGCATTCTGTGGGCCCTCAGTTCTCACTGTATTCTGCTGGGGAAGCCATTTCTTGGAGCTTATCCCACAGCCCAGGAAAGCTAGTGTGCCCTTTGGCTCTCTGTTCCATCCCCCTCCAACTTGAGCACCCATCCCCAGCAGTCCCACCACTGCTGCAGTTGATGGTGCACACGTTTCTGTCACCCTCCCTTGCTGCCCTCAGCTTCTTTTCTCTTCCCTCACCAGTAGGGCACTTAGCACAGGGACAAGGAGGGTGAGGAGGTCTGCTGGTTGGGCATTAGAATGTGCTAATCCCCTGTTTATGACATCATACTAGGTTGCTATGGGAACCTCAGAGCACTTCAGACTTTTAGTATCCGGGCACTGGGGTTATTAAAGGGCAAAATGAGGCCTTAAAACTGGGAGGGCTCTCTGGGGGTAGAGCCCCTGTATATAGCTCTACAAGTCATACACTGCAAAAATTCAAGGCAGTATCTGCGTAGGCTAGATTGTGAATGGTGCTCCCTAGAGTTGTGTACCTAACCTGCATAGCTGCACATGGTGACCCAGGAGGTCCTGAGGTTTTAGAGAAGAGGGAGGCCCCTCGATCCTGGAATCAATCAATCTGCCTTTCAGGCTAGGCAGGGTGGCACTCTCTGATGGAGGAGCAGACCTATCTGATGCTCAGCCCTCCTACTGTATGTTCCTTTCCCTCCCCCGTCTCTGACATTACCACACTCACGTACTCCTAGATCTGTAACACACCCTTGTCGATAGTAGAGCCAGGTCTGTAAAATTGATTTAGGTTTTTATTCTTGGTCTCCCCTGTTCAGTGGCCCTTCCCTCTTTCAGCCTGTCCAGCTGCCACTGGAACTGCTGTCTATGTGGGACTAAAGCAAAGCAAGATTTATCCCACCCCCTAGCAAACCACCTAGTCTGATCCCCAACAGAACCCAGGCATGAGGGTAGGAGTCCTGGCAGATACCAGCCACAGTGCGCTGAGCTAGGGGTGCAAGACAGAGCTGGGTCTTCATTGACACCTCGCCAGCACCCTGGCCCCATGCCCATCTCCACCTGTCCTTGCCACACTGCTAGCTGGGCCATCCTCCAGCAGCCCGGGCGGATCAGGACCTAGTAACCTCTTCCTGTCTTTCCCAAATGTGTGATAGCCATTTGGGGGTTGAGCCTTCCCCCACCCCCTTGACTTGTTAAGAGACCGCAGCAGGCCTAAGGACACAATCCATCCTGCCCTCAGGCCTTTGAAGTGAAGCCAGGCTCCCTCCCATATATCCGGTGTCCTTTAACGTGACACAGGATTGATGATGTGTGGGGGCTCTTGGGTTGCAAAAGGCCACTCTGGGGGGCTGGTAGAGGGGGAGTCCTCGCTACGAGGGAGGTTGCTTCACTTATAAGGGACTTTATGATTCAATCCAGAGGCCCTTGAGCTTTGAGCCCCAAGGGAGCCCCACTTCCTCCTTCTCCTGTTGCTTCAGGAGAGGTAGGAAGGAACCTTGGTTCTTCCCAGAGCTGGAGTCTTCCCAAAGGGCTGACTAGAGGCCACCCAGGCACTCCTCCCCACCCCCCGCAGTTAGTAGGCTGCTCCATGAGGCACAGGCGTCAGGCCCAGAGCAAGCCGAAGCCCAGTTTCCTCGGGTCTCTCCAGGGCAGGGTTGAGGAAGAACAGTTTTCTGTTCTGGGCAGCAGTTCTGGACAACCTGGTCAGCCTGGGGATCTTCTGAGGTCCTGGAATTCCAGTGAACACTCCTTTTGGAGAACCAGCTCCCACACCCCATCTCTTCACCCATCCCCTCTGGAGACTGGGAGATGCCAGCGCAGGGGCCTGCCAGGTGTTCCTTCCTTTATCCTTGACTCTCCTGCGGTCCCAGCACTACTACCAGCCATAGAAAAAGCAGTCTCTGCGGCCAGTCCACTCCTCAGAAGTCTCCTTGTTGGGGGCACTGACATTGATGGGAGACTCAGGGAAGCCCTCCACTGCCTGCCCGCCTCACACTTGTGCAGGCCAGCACCGCCCCCAGCTTTTTACTCCTCTCAGAGCTGTTTCCTTTGCGCAGAGAAGACCAAGGCCCAGGGGAGCACAATTGAAACATATAAATTAGCAACCACTTTTCACTTTTATCTAAAAATTTTCATCCAAGAGTTTTCGTTTTGTTTTTTTTTATATTAAAAATCTCTCATTGGATGGTTTTTAGAGGTGGCTGGGTTAAATTGTGACCTGGAGTGGAAGCAGAGGAGGATCCTGGCCTTTGGCATAGCTGAGCTTTCAGGATGCAGGGTGGGCCTCTCTGGACAGAATCCAGGTTGCACTTCTGAATGGAGTAAACCCCAATCCCAGCCGGCATGAGCCACTTTTCTGGGAACTGTCAGCGCCCTGGCCATCCCCAAAGGAGGCCAAAGGACTGTGGGCGGCAGCCATTTTTCCCCACCCCCTCCTACATACCCACCATGTGTACTCACCCTTGACTCCCATCGTGGGTTGAGTGAGGGGCAGGGGTCCTACACCAAATATGGCTGCCCAGGGGAGCTCCCTGAAGGCTGGGTGGCAGAATGAGCCAAATGGGGGAGAGGGAAGGATTCCTCCAGGCTCTTACATCAGCCTCTTCCTCCGCCTCCTCCCCCAGAAAATACACACAAACATTGACAACTCATAAAGATCAAGGGAGCCCACGTGGCCCCGGGCTGCCTGACCCTGGCCACACACGCTTGTGGCAACAAAAACCCAGCCCATCTGTTTACAGCACACTCAGTGGTTGCTCCCAGGAAAAGCCCCTGCTCCTCAAGGAAGGAAAACTAGAGAAAGGGTTTGGTCGGACAACTACAGCTTTGGCCTGAGGAGGCAGTGCCCACCCTCCCAGCTCCAGCAGGGCTCCCAGGCCTCAGCCACACTTCCTGGTCCTCCCTCCACAGGTACCTGACCCGCTGGTCCCCCCGCTCCGTCAGGCCCATCTACAATAAAGGCCACCGCTGGAATAAGGTGCGAATGGCTGTGGGATCACCCCTCCTGAAAGACAACGTCTGCTACTCCAGAAGACCTTTGGTGTTATATCACTGACTGAGCAGGGCTTCCTGAGAACCTGGCTAGACAGCCTCCTGCTCTCTCACCCCTTTCTACCAGGGTGGCCCAGCTCCTCCAACATGAACAGCACAAGTGGCAGTGAGACCACCTCCAGTGCCCTTGGCCTGCCAACAGCTGGGGGCACGTGGTTCAGTTGGGTTCCTTGGCATCTGTGAGACTGGCTGGGGCCACGCTCTGTGCTAGGGGACAGGAGTTTTCCTGAAACGAATGTCATAAACCAGGCTCATGTCTCACCCACTGGGTGTGTGCTCTCTGCTTGGGAAGTGCGGGGGGCTTGGGCCCATTTCTGGCAGCTACTGAGCATTGAGTCTTGTGATGGGCTACGTGAATGGGACGGAAGGGAGTTCCTGGGCCAAAGGGTTCCCATCCTCCGTTTGGACAGCTGTTAGTCTTGGGCCTAGGGGCTCCAAGGAGGCGAGACGGGCAGCCTGGCCCGTGTACAACTCTAACCTGAGTCTAAGAGCTGCCTTCCTCAAAGGGCTCCTGGCCATCACCTCCCACCGCCATTTCCACCCGCCATTCTCACTCATTAGCACATTCTGACCCTCTGCCACTTGCTTTGGCATTGTGGTTCCTTGGGCCTGTCCTCAGGGCCTGGACACCAGATGGAGGTGGAGATGAGGGAAAGCGGCAGGACAGAACAAACAGACCAAATTCACTGGAATGTATGAAAATAATGTTTATGCTCTACATGAAAAGTTCCCAGGCCAGCCCCTCCTACAGCATGAAAGGCAGGTCTATGTTCTTCTCACCAGTGCCCACGTAGATATAGCCACAGTTCTTGGTTCCGGGGGTGTGGTAGAAGGTGAGGCCTGGCCAGAGCAGACTGCGCAGCACCACCAGGGCGTTGCCCCTCTCCATCTGGATGCTCCAGGACCCTGGGGAGCAAGTGAGGCCTGGGTGCTGTGGAGCCACAGCTCTGCCCGGTGTGCAGAGGCCCCAGCTTCTTGGGCAGCCAGGCCCAGGTGCTAAGGTTCCATGGGAAAAGGGAAGACGGTTTAATTATCCTGGCGCTTTACTCCTCCTGATTGCCTTTTAGCCATTTCACTGTTCATTAAAACCACTTCCAGGGGGAGGGCAAAGGAAATGAAAAGAGGTGAAACTCAAACGCGTGCATTTTGTTCCTGTCAGCAAGTCTAGTTAAAGGTTGAGTGGGGGAGGAAGCCGAATCCACAGGAGTTGGGGCCAGGCTTGGGGAGACTCTCCGGGCTCCCTCTCTCCTTCTACTAAGGGTAATCACTAGTGGCCTTCAGTCCTAGTGCAGTTTGCTCCCACTTGCTATTTTGCTCTCTTCCCTAGTCCCAGAATCCTCTGCTCTGAGACAGATTAGACCTGACCAAGGGCTCATATAGAAGCTTGGACATTTCAGTTCTCCCAGCTCAATAGCCCTTACTGGCCACTGGTGGACTGGGAGCCATCCTTGGCAGGAGGAGACCTGGGCTATAGCTAATTTGCCTTTGTCTGTCCTGGGTCCTGCCCTGGTTTTTGCTCCCCAGACAGGAGCAGCCCAGCCCAGGGCTGAGTTGTGCAGCCATTAGGACTTGGCGGAAAGGACCTGATCCTTCTCCAGAACTGAGGGAGGGAGCCGATGTGTGGGAGGAAGGAGCCTGGGAAAATCGCCTCTGGATGCAGATCTGGAGCTTCTATTCCCTTGCGTACCAAGGCCCCTCCCGGGCCCAGCCACAGTTCTGTTCCAGGCTCTTCCAGAAAGGCAAATGCTTTGAAGGTTTTGGTGTTGGACCAGCCAGTGATGCACTGAGGGCTACACTCAGACCTTCATCGATTGCCAGCTCAACCCGGCTGCTTGGCTCCTGCTGCCCCCGCTTCCCACAGGCCTCCTCCAACCATGGCCCACCCTGTTCACTCCACAACCAGCCTCACGTCTCAATCTCTACCCAACAGGGGCCACCCTGCATCCAGGAGACCTTGTCACCAGGAACCCCTGACCCTGACAGCAGCTCAGCCCTGTTGAGGGGACCGTCATCTGCCCAAATCAAAGCCAGAGCCTTCTGGTGCATGCAGGTCAGCTGGCCCTGCCTGCTCAGGAAGAGGCTGGCTGGGAGCCACCACAGCACTGCAGTGGCCTGCACCAGTTGTCACTGCCCATGCATGAGATGATGAAGTGGAAGCTACAGTGTGAGCCTGATTCCACTCCCCTGGGACCACACAGTGCTGGCCAGACAGCATCAAGAAAAATGTCCCTGCGTCACCAGAGCTCTGGCTGGGTTACTGCTTAGGAGGGCGAGGGGCGCTTTCCTGGTCAGAGAAGAGTATTTCCTCTGGCTCCTGCAGCTTTCTTCTCTGGGCACCTGAAGTCCTCCATCTGCCCTCAGAGGCCTAAGGCCCTAGCCTGTTGCCTTCCTAGTCACTCATTCCAAAAAACATCGCCCAGGGATAATTGGAGTAGGTTGTGACAGAACAGAGTACAGTGCGCTGCATTCAGCCTTTGGCCAGAAGCACAGACCCCAGGAAGGTACATCCTCTAGCATCCCTTAGTCACACACCCCCACCCCAGTCCCCAGAACATCACCTGGGAACAGTCCCCCCTGCCCTGGGGCTCACAGTCACACAGCCTCCTTGAACTGAGGTCAGGCTCTGCCTCGCTCTGCCTCACTCTGCCCCCCGTGGAAGGCAGCTCACAGCCTGCCTAGGCTAAATGCTGTCCTGCAGAAAAGGAGTCCTGGGGTCCCCCAGCCTAGACTGCTCACCAGTTCACTGTTAGCATCTTGGCACACCCTGGACAAGGGCTGGGCCCTGACCTTCCCTCACACCAGCCTGCCCTCTTAGGGTTTGGCCACCTCTCTCCTGAAGCAGATGAAGGGGCCCAGGCTTATCAGCAGGGGCTCCCCTCCACCACTCGCGCCTCCAGAGGGTAAGGAGAGGCTGATAGGGATGCTAGAGAAATACACTGACCCCACGGGGGCAGGAGGGCAGCAGCGCCAAGCGGGTAGGAGGGTGCTGGCCAAGTGTGGAAGTGGCATGTGAGGGGCCAGCCAGCCAACAACACTGCCTCCCTCCCTCCCTTGCATTCCTGTCACACTCCTGTCCTCCTCTCCTTGTTCCTGGCTCAGCTGGTTGCCCAGGAAACACACAGACTCTCAACGTGCCAGGAGTCACGTAGTGTCTACCTGGGAAGCCAGGCATTTGCTGCCACCTTCACCCACTTTTCTTTTTGCAGCTGCTGGAAAGGCTGGGCCCAGCCAGCAGCTTCTGCCTCTGCCCCTAGGATTCCAGGAGAAGCAGCCTCCTGTGGCCCTGCCTGCTGTTCCAGGTCACAGCCCAGCCCCTCCCAAGTTCCCTCAAACCTCCACCACCCCCCGCCCCTTGGCACCCACTCTCTCTGCCAGCTCTTTTTTTGAGGCAGTTGTAGGGGAACGCACTGGTAACCAGGAACAGCGCCTACTGCAATCAGCAGGAAGTCCAGGGTCCCAGGGTGTCACCCGCCTTGCTAGTGTGGAAACATCAGGCTAGGGTATGCTTCTCTTAATTACATTCTTCCGCCCTCCAGGGAGAAAGACAGCAAAGCCCTGAGGTTCAGTTTGAGGGGGACAGTGGGCCAGGCTGGGGGTCAGGACTGTCCAGGGGCAGCAGGTGGCTTAAACCTTCTCAGACCAGCACGACACAACTTGTTGTACACAAAAACGGCATGGGTTCCTCAGAGTGGCCACTTCCACCACACCAGGGCCATAAGGTATGGTCAAATCCCCTAGAGGCTGAGGGGGAGCGATGGAAGAGTGCCATGTCTGATGGGTAAGGCCAGCCCTCCGGCCCCTCCCCGCAGTCCAAAAGGCCAAGCACCTGTCAGCCAGGCTTCCAAAGGACTGTGCAGAAGGGGCCACCTGCATACACCCCCAAGAGAAAGCTGATCAAGGGTACCATGTTCCCCGCCCCCACTCTCCAATGCTCCTGTCCCTCTGGCTCCCCTGTCCCCTAACCCTTCCCCAACTATCACCACCACATTTTAAAGGCCCCTTCCCAAGCAGGCAGGTCCCTTGCTGCCCTCTCCTGCCTGAACTGGGCATTGCTGCTGAGAGCTCACTTGAGCTGGAGCCCCAGCAGCCCCGGGCCTGGCAGGCCCCCACAGTTCCTTAGTGGAGCAGAGTGCAGCAAGGAGAGGGTCCCTGCCCTCCACCCTCCTGCTCTTCCCTCACTGCTCTGCCTGCCATTCTCTGCTTCCCAGGACAAAACGACTTCATTGGTGAAGCACCTTCTGTTTTACATTTCCACTTTTCATCCTGTTTTATTTGATCTTCCCAAACCTCTGTGAGCCAAGGACGGTGCCTGTCTTGTTCACAAAGATATCCCCAGGGCTTGGTACATAATACCTGCTCCATGGTTAAGGAGGATGGAATGGCAGAGTATTATCTAGAAATCTGGCCTCCGGACCTGGTGCTCCATCTTTCTCACCTGGCTGTAGCTCAAACTCAGAGAATTTTTAGCTGTTTCCCTGCATCCACGAGGAGGACGTATCTGCCGACAAACTACTCACTCCCACAAAACTCCACAGACCCCAGAACACGGCTGAACAGCTCAGGAGGGCATTTGTGGCCCCAGGCTGGCCCAGGGACAAGCTGCTGATCTCCTGAGCTACCTCCATCAGCACAGAGCAAGAGTCCCAGGAACAGGGCCAACCTATACCACACCTGCTCAGAGGTGACACCAAGTCCCCCTGAACAACTGCCTCAGACCCAGAAAGGAAATAATAATCTGGGCAGAAAGTTACATCCCACCTAATTCCACCTGCCACATTTCACCCCGCCAGCCGGTACTGGTGTCCCAGGGAACTAACTCTTCCTTGGGATTTTGGCCTCCTTAGCAGCCAAGCCCATTCTGGCTGCTCTCCGCCTGGAAGGGCAGCCTCCCAGCAGCTCCTTCTGCTCTTTAACTGGCAGATAAGGAAGGGAGTCTGGGAGCTAAATCATAGTGTCTGCTCTCCCTGACCACACTTCCATCCCTATGCCATAGCCCCCACGAAGCCATCCTGAGAAAAAACTGGGCCTGACTTCCCGGAGGCTTTCTGGTGGTGGCTCTGGGATGAAGGGAACTGAGGGCCCAGAAGCTGTGAGGTTTCCCAAGGTCAGGCGAAGAGCATCCCTCCCATTTTAGCCGCCCCCCCCCTACACACACACACACATAGGAGATGCCAGGAGCCCTCAACCCCCAAGGCTCCAGCACTGAGGACAAAGCAACAGGCTGGGGTGGACTGAGATGTCAAACCACCAGTTGCTCCTTC